ATATTTATAATTAATAACAATAAACTTTAAAACTTACTTAACTTACTTAATTATGATATTAAATGTTTCAATAGAAAAATGAGGTAATTTAATTTCAATAACATTATTTTTCCTATTCGTGTTTTCTAATTTTTGACGAAAGCATGGTGAGCGTTGATATAATATTGCTGAATGTGCTTTAAAATGGTGAATATTTGGTTGTTCTCCAACTTCAACTATCACATCATAGCCATATTCATTTTCAAGCAATTGAGTAAAATCTTGCGAAAGTTTCTTTAAAAATTCAGGTGCCATTTTACAGTACAGCTATGATAATTTAGAAGAGAACACTTTGTACGTACGTACGTATGTATGTATCAGGTATTTCTTATGTAGTTAATAAATGGCGTACATAACTCTCAAGCCAAATAGGTAATTTAATTCAAATAAAGAAATAAATAGGCCAAAAAAGAAAAGATCATATAGTTATTTTTGGGCTCATTTCCTGCATAAATTTAATCTGATCTTTTATTGTAACTCAAATAGTCTACATAGTATACTTACGAATTCACAGTAGTCGTATTTGCTAAATCTCTTTAAAATTTTTTGAACAACTTTCTCAAGATTTTACTCAGCTTTTAGAAAGCAAATATGGTGGTTATGATGTGATAATTGAAGTTGGTAAACAACCGAATATCCAACATTTTAAAGCACATTCGGTAATCGTTCATTATACTTTTACAAATGCGATTAAGTAAAATAAAATTATTGAAATTAAGTTACCTCATAATTCTGTCGAAATATTTAAAAATATTATTAAGTAAGTTATAGTATAATAATATAATTTTCAAATATTTATTATGAAATATTAATTCATATTCTTATTATATTTGTTTTCTTAGTCGCTGCAAATGAACTTGAGCTTATAGAATTAGTTGAATCCCTTCAGTCTCACCTTATCAATAATAATTCATCTTGGCTTCATTTGAATTTTTCTCGTGTTTATCAAATAAGCTTTTTTGTAAAAAATCTTAAGTCTTTATAGCAATATCGCAATGATATAATTGTAAAATATTCATGCATAATTTTTAACTCTGATGATTTTACTACTTTTCATGAGAATGCTTAGATTACTCTTTTAAAAAACGATAGTTTACAAATTGAGGAATCAGAAATTTGGGTTAAAGTTATCTTATGGGAAGATAAAAACTCCAAATTCGCCACCTAATCTTAAAGATTGGACTGATGATAATTTTAAGTCTTTAAAAACTACTATTCAACATTATCAAATATTTTCAAATACCTGGTAAAGATGTCTTAAAGAAAATTAAACCTTATTGTAGTATTTTTGAAGAAAATGTGTAGGACGATAAAATTTTGAAGTTTGTAGATCCTGTTATTTCTATCACTTCTTCAATTTTATCTCCTCGTAAAAAAGAAACTACTCAACTTCCTTCTCGACAATCATGATTACGTTACAACATGCGGCAGAAATTTCTTCATTGATCGACAAACGTGCAGAAGTTTATGATGTTTCAGAAATTCCATACGAATTTAAGCTATTACTTAGAATTAGTAGAGATGGTTTTACAGGTGATATCCTTCATAAACTGTGCGATAATATACCTTGTACTGTTGTCATTTTAAAAATCAATGAAACAAATGAGAAACTTGGTGGTTATAATCCTCTTACATGGAATGCGAATATTAGTGATGAATGCGGAGTATATTCTGAGACAGCTGATAGCTTTATTTTCTCTTTAGAAAGTGGAAACCTTAAGAAATCTATTATTAGTTACGTATTTGATAATTCACGCGTAATTTGGATGTCACATTTCCGGTTTCACAATGGGTGTTTCTATTTTGATAGGCGTTTTGATTTTCCTTTGACTTTGAGCGAAGAAATCTCGATAACTACCTGACTAAATTCGATGAAAATTTTTTTATACGAATTCTTTGAATAAATTGGATTTAAATAAAAAAAATTTTTTTATCAAATTTAATTTGATGGTTATCGAGATATTTTCGCTCAAGTTTTGAAATTCTTAGGTAAATGGTCATGTGATGGGTCACTTTTGACCCGGGTCAAAATTTAATTGGCCAACATAAAATACTTAAGAGAAATTTCTGAAGTATTTCGAAAAATAGACTATTAGTCAGGTATTAGCCAGCCGCTTAGCCGATGTTTTAGTCAGCTGGCTTAGCCAGCCGACTAAAGCCATGTGGCTTACAACACTAATATCGGATATGTATGTACGTACGTACGTAGTTTTAATTCTTTCTTTTTTTTGTACGTACGTACTAAGTTTAGTATCGTATGCATATATGCATTGTTAATAGCCTCTCTTTTGATTTCATGCGGGTTGCTCAGTTTTTAGTTCAATACAAAAGAACTTCGTTATTTTTGTAAGTAAAAAATTTTTCTTACAAAAAATTTTAAAAAAACTCTTTAAAAAAACTTTTTAAAAAAACACACTTTGAAAAAATCTTTTAAAAAAAGCGCTAAAAAAAACTTTTTTTTAAAAAACACCCTTTAAAAAAATCTTTTTAAAAAAAAACTCAAACCTTTTTTAAAAAAAAACTCTAAAAAAAATCCTAAACATTTCTTCAACTGTATATATATTTATTAAATATAAATTTTATAGTTAAGAATATAACGAATATAACCGATTTTAGAGTGTTCAAAGGGAACAAAACCCTGTTAAAATTTTTGGTGAAGTAATCCTAACTTGACGTTATTCGAGAGTAAGTTTAATATATATTTACTCAATCTCGAGGTAGGGCTCCGATGAACAGGAACAGAGGCCGGACCTTATGACGGTAAATCAGGAGTTTGAATAAAAATAAGTTATTATTAAATTGTTATCTACGTATGTACTAAAATTTCGGATGTTTATACTAAATTTGAATATACTTTAGAGATATTAATCATAAAGACATTAAAAGAGGAAAGACAGGAATTAATTGCTAGATTACAATAAACGAAGGGCCAGAAAATGAAGTCACAACTTTATGTCATAAAGCTGAACAGCTAGAGCAAAGAATTCATTGCAAAAATTCAATAACCTAAGTGAAGAACTGTTTATTTATATTTACATATTATAATTATTTTACATTAGTTTCTTTGGTAATATCAATATTTTTTAAATTACCGTGTATCTACGTACATTCTGTGTTTTTTTTTTCATTCAACTATAACATGATCATGCAGGCGGCTTCGCTGCCTGTTTCATATTTCTAAAATAATTCGAATAAAATGATAAAGTGTAACTTAATAGTAAAAATTCACAACTTGAATAATCTATTTCAAATACCTCAGTTTATAAATATTTATTTTTCACTTATATACATTCAAGTTAAATAAAATGAATTCAAATTTCTTAATACCTTATCTATTTTAATTGGTGTAAATAAAACGAAGTTAATGAAGTTAATGAAGTTAATGAAGTAATGAAGTTGTACAAGAATTCACAAATTTAACGAATTAAAATATTCAAAAATTAATTTATATGAAATGAATACTTAATTGAATAAAATTAACGTAAAAAAAATAATTAGTGAGACAGTTTCGATCAGCTCAGCGACAAACATTATAGTTACTAACAATTAATTCACAGACAAGGTTTATTTTACAGACGATTAATTCACAGGCAAGTTCATTTCATAGACAACAGCTCATTTCACACTAATCTTAAGGGGTATGCTTTTTATTCCAACGATAATGACAGAATTGTTTTCTATGTGAAATGTGCTGTCGTAAAAATATACTGTATATAAAGTAAACTTATCTTTGAATTAATAATCGGTAAAATAATTTTTTCTTAAATTAATTTGTCGTGAACTAAGTTGTCTATGAAATGATTATCGGCGAAATAATACAGAACCATAATGAATAATGAACGATAATACCAGTGAATAAATCAAATATCTGTAAGATATTTACCATCTTACAGATACTTGATTTATCATTGATTTAAAATACCATACCAATATTTTTTTTACCTACTGTAAGATAATTTATTTCAATCACTTTCGTCTATTATTAATTAAAACTAAAATGACGAAATGATAAAACCGATGAAAGGTGGCGAAACTAATGAAAAGTAATGAAACTGATGAAAGGCGACAAAACTGACAAAAGGCGTGAAACTGACAAAATGTGCGAAACTGACAAAACTAATGTTGTACTAGGTTTACACGATAATAAATCCGCAACAAGCAGGACTATAAAATTTTATCACACGAGTTAAATTGGTTTATTACGTAGCATTAAAGACTTGATTTATTCCTTACCGGAGATTGTTTAGATTGCTTTCAATTTCCTTATTAAAAGGTTAATAGTCCTTTAAAAATTATCACGACGAAAGGTGAAATCTGGTTTTAAATTTAGCTAACATAAATTGGTGATTTTTTGGTTAACCTAATACAGCTACTACGGTTAAGTATGAATTATACGAAAACTCCAAATATCATGATTCCAACACACGTTTTTCTTCTCATTGTAGTAATAAAGAGATTGGGTGACCCACGATTCTTAGGAGAGGGAGTAGTTTGTTTATCCTGCTACTAAATCCTTGAGGAAACTTGCCTCATGCCCTATAGATCCTACTGATCTCTATACTATCGTTAATGACATTAAATTTATTCTTCGTGGTTCCGAGGAATTGAAGAATTCGCAGTCCTTAAGACATAAACTAGCTTCTGTCCGTGTTCGCGAATATCTCCAAAGCAATATTATTATAGAAAAGGAGCGGTAAACATATCCGGTCATTTTTAGTAAATTTAAGTTAAAAAAAACCTTAAAAAATCGGTTCATTATATATCCATTTATTTTTAATTTTTCAATTTTGTTACGTTTTAAACTTTTGAACTCAAGACGGAATGTCAAGGTAATGTTAAATTTCAGCATAATTAATTTGGAAGTGTGAAAAAAGAATTTTTTTGACTTCATATTTCTAGGACTCACATGATTTTGGAAACTTTTTATACGTTTTTTTTTTCATTGTTATTTTAACATTTAGCCAGAATATTCTTTATTTTATTCTCTGAAGCATAGCTGTAGATATTAACTTCTCCTTTTAAACTTATTGACGAATGGTCTAGTATAATAATAAATAAATTATATATTGGTTGTTCTTTGAAACCATTCATAGACTGAATTCATCTTTTGCATTCATTATCCATTAAATCAATTCGAAAGAATAGAAAAGTTTAAGAGTTGTGTATAAATAAACTATTAGAGCAATGACAATTTTGAATAATATATCTACATTTTTTATAATACAGTATTCATGAAAACACTGCATAAATACTTAATAATAAAAATCACGCAAAATAATACCATAAAGAATATTGGTAATTTTAAAATATGAATTATCAAAATAACAATTTATCACCTAGAAAATTCTCTTAAATAGCAAATTCCTCATAAATTTTTATTATAATAATATTTTAAAGTTGACATTAATATTTGATTAGAAGACAGTTACAAAATAGATTATTTCTAATTATTAAATCATATTAAACATTTAGATCACTTATAGTATAATTAATTATACTTGAGTAATATTTTTATGAATACATTATTTGTATTAATAACCTATTTTCGATAGACACAAAATTTTTGATAAAAAATTTAACATAGTACAGTGCTCTAAATATAAATGTACAACAAACTGTATATGTAAAATGGCGTAACATAACGGCCAAGCCAAATAGGTCATTTTAATTCAAAAAAGAAATAAATAGGCCAAAAAAAAAGAAATATAATCAAAATAACCCATGGTGATCGTCACCACCCCTAGATATATTTAGGGTTAGGGTTAAAAATTAGAGAATTATTTTTTTTTATATAATATAATATAGAGCTACTATTAGGGCCCGATCTCAATTCTCGTGAGGTTTTTGGGGGTTCTGAACATTTTTACTTAGAGCGTTTACTTAGTACGTTTTTGAACAGGGGGAAACGTTGAAACGTCACAAAATTGTTACACAATTGATAAAAATTTTTTTTATATTATTTTACAATA